ATTTTACAGTCTTTTACTGTTAAAATCACAATAATTTTTTACAGTGCAGAGAAGAGAGAAAAACAAAACACCAGTCACGAATTAGAAGTAAAAATGTCAGAGGATTTCGATATAAGCCAAGAGGAGACTGGTTTTCCTTTGCTAAAGTAAGGAAACTTTACTTTAATTACTTTTGGACGTTTGCTTCCTTTGCTCCTGTAAACAAACACTGGTTTTTGCCCGACTCACACACACATGCGCTACGCCTATGTCCTACGTCATCCGCCGGAAAGGCAGTCTCTCGTGAATGCGCGTACGACAGTTGGCGGAAGTTACACAAAACTGTTAAAGGGGTCATATGATGCGATTAAAATTTTTCCTTTCTCTTAATATCGTTTTAAATGTGGATATGTTTTTAAACAAAAACACATCAATTTGCTACAGGAGGCCTTTGTTCACCCCCCGAGCCGTGTGAGGTACGTTTTACTATGTAGAGACCTGCGCAGGATGGATTTTTCAGTCCCGCTCCTGCAGAAATATATCTTATCTGGTCCCGCTCCCGCCCGCGACATTCATGTTTTGTCCCGCTCCCGCCCGCAAAAAAGTAATCTATATAGACTTTTTCAGTACATCGAAAAAATTTACATGAAATGGTTCTGTAACATCTCCTAAGCTCCACAACATCCCAGCATAAACACTCCCGATAAAATATTTGTTATTTAAATATTTGTTTAGCATCAACATTAACAAACCACTGTTATTTTTAACAGAAAAGCAAGCATGGGCTGCTGCGTGCACGGTTTGGCAGCACTTCCTTTATTATCACTAAAAGCTGACATCTCAGTTAATCTCTATCTCATAAAGCTCTGTTATAACAATAAATGTATGCACAATTAATCTTTCACAATGTCTACACTTCATGTGTTAAAATGAGAGGATTCGTGAGCATGCAATTTCAGCACTGTGGTGAGTTGATTCTAAATTAATAACCTCTGATTGGCCATTGTGTTCTAGAAAAAAAACAGCTGAGTCTGTGATTGGCTACATTGCGCTACCCTATGCCTAGCTTGCGCATATCAATCATTTTAATGTTAATATTAGTTGTTGTTTTTGCTTTTGTACAACAAATAACAATTTATATGTTTTAGACACTTTATATTTAGATAATTTCTATTTTGCGGGAGTCCCGCAAATCATTTTATTCTCCCGCATCCCGCACACACACGAGTCTCTTCCCGCCCGCACCCACACTCGCCCATCAAGAGTTGTCCCGCGCCGCACCCTGTTGCGTTGGGTCCTGCGGGTCCCGCGGTACTCCCGCGGGAGTGCAGGTCTCTACTTGGAAGAGCAAGGACAATTTTTAATATAACTTCGATTGGATTTGTCTGAAAGAAGAAAGTCATATACACCTAGGATGCCTTGAGGGCGAGTAAAACATGGGCTAATTATCATTTTTGGGTGAACTAACCCTTTAATAATACATAAACAATCTTGAGTGTATAGTTATGTCCGAGCCGTACCGTGTGAGAAGAAACTGGGAGCTGTGGGAGGCCAGCGGGTTGCTCTCAGTCATGGCTGTGTTTGTGGCGGTGTTGGGCGGCGGGATGCTGGCGCTGATGTTGCTAGGGTTGCTGCGTTGGCGTGTAGCGTTGCGGGCCGTCTCCAGCTGCTGACGCGCCGCCTGTGCCTGCTGGCGCTCCAGCTGAAGCTGCATTTGCAGTTGCTGCAGCTGCGAGGCCGAGGGGCCAGAAGAGTTGAGCTGTCCTCCTGCGGAGCGCCGCACACCCGACAGCTGAGAGAGCAACTCTGGTGATGTAGACACAGGTAGAAAGACGACAAAAAAAAGTGTGAGAAGAATCAAAACAACACTTGCATCAACAAAATGAAAGTCCATAAGCCAATTAAGTTAAAGCCTGTATTACACACCTGCTATGGGGTCCATGGCTTCCCTATTGCTTGGAGAGTAGGAGGAGCTTTGTGAAGAGGAGAGCCCACCAGTGGAGCTGCTGGTAAAGTGCATGTTAGTCCGGCGTGCCCGCGGACCGCCCAGTCCCCGCCCAGGGTGGAACATCCGACGAACGTGCCGTACGCCGCTGCTCTCATCGTGCACACACTGGTTAAGGAGCAACTGGCTGAGAATGTGTCACAACACACACATCACCTCTCATCCTGAATCATCTAACAATTTCAGGTTTGAGTCTGATAAGGTGTCGTGATTTTATTGCCTTTTTTGCTCCACACTTTTCCATCACTTTATCACTTTCTCTGTTAAAGAGAGATTTCACCCAAAAATGAAAATTCTGTCATTAATTACTCAGCCTCATTCCGTTCCAAACCTGTAAGACCTTTGTTCATCTTTGGAACACAAATTAAGATATTTTTGATGAATTCCGAGAGCTCTCTGACCCTCCCATTGACCGCAAGGATCCTAACACGATCAAGGTTTAGAAACGTAGCAAGGACATCGTTAAAATAATCCATTTGACATTAGTGGTTCAACCGTAATTCTACGAAGCTATGAGATTACTTTTTGTGTGCAAAGAAAACAAACATAACACCTTTATTCAACAATTTGTCTCCTCCTGCACCCTGTAGCACCATTTTGGAGACTATCACATACGTAAACAACGTATGCAACGTATGTACATGGATATGTTGTTTATGTTCAGATCAAAGCGTAAACAACATAAAATTATAGTTGAACCACTGATGTGACATGGATTATTTTAACGATGTCCTTGCTACAGTTCTGAGCCTTGATAGTGTTAGGATCCTTGCTGTCTATGGGAGAGTCAGAGAGCTCACGGGATGCATCAAAAGTATCTTAAAGGGTTAGTTCACCCAAAAATGAAAATTAGCCCATAAATTACCCTCGATACCTCCAATCGAAGTTATATTAAAAATTGTCTTTGATCTTTCAAGCTGTTTAATGCCACTCAGCGGGTGTTGCATGCATCAGTCCAGAAGAAGTTAAATAAACACCGCCCATCCATAAAAAAATAAGTGTCTCACACGGTGAGAACAAAGGCCTGCTGTAGCGAATCGATGCGTTTTTGTAAGAAAAATATCCATATTCAAAATGTAATAATCACTCTCATGTAGCTTGCGCCAACAGTTGTACACTGGAAGCAGCTCCGGGCGGATGACGTATGAGTTCAGCGTTCCGCATGCCCCGGTAAGTCTCG